AACTTCGGTGACTTCCCAAGTTGTCCTATTATTTGGCTTCAATTTAGGAGAAATCATTTAGATGTTTCATCCTGCAATTTTTTTTATTTATTAGGATTTACATTTGTGTGAAGCAATCAACACAAATAACCATAAAGATGTGAGGATTTAAGTCGTGACAAACGACTACCTCGGAGTCCTAAGACGACTTTAAGGCTTATATTATACAATATGATTGTAAAAAGGCCTAAAAGATGTGTTTGAGGATTTATGTTGCACTAGGAAAACAACCTCGAATTCCTATGGCTTTGTTGTTTTAAAGCTAAGGAAGGATGTGATAGTGTAGATCCTCTTGCTGTTGAAGATGGTCGAGCTGCCCACCATGTAAGCTCCAAACTCCTCGTTATAGCAGAGTTTAAGTTTTCTAGGTCATTTGGTTATAATGTCAAATCAAGTGGCCTTATAGTTAAAATTATTTGAATTTTATTTTGGGCATATTAAAAAGTTGATTAAAGCGACACCTGTCAAGATCCCACGGTTCCATCGTCGCAGCACTACTATTTTCTATTGGAATCACTTAGTCCAAATGAATTTACTAAACTCAACTTAATGAGTTCCATAATTTCATTTAGACCGTAGAAAACCTCGTTAGCAACCGTAGGTTACCTCCTCCAAGGGTTCTCGATCTTCCAATAGAGACGTTTTAATTAAGTTGAAGTTGTATTTTTTAGGATGTTTGTGATTAAGTTTTGAATTGTCTTATATTTTTGAAATGTTGTTGGGGTGATTTATGCAATTTTATATTTTCTATGCAGGTATGTAAATACAAGCATAAATAAAAGTGCAGTAGGAAAGTACAAGAAAGACTGTAAAACGCTGTAAACTGTAAAAGTGTACGTGGTGAGTCTTCTCGTTTTACCACCTGCAACTCAAAATGCATGTCAGAGCAGTTTATGTTTATAGAGCTGGAAAAGTAAACTTTTGGAAACCTTCCTAACTCTATGTTGTGTATTGGGGGTCCTTAAATTTTATGGATAATATTATTAAGTAAAACATATTAAGTTTAATAGACCCCTAAGGTATTCA